AGCAAATAATTTTGCTACCTTAAAAAAATCTGGGGAGAAACAGCTTAATCACTGTACTGCATTAATAAACTTACTTTGTGGAATGACCCGGTTGCTCTATGGAAGCATTTTCATTCTTCAGACCAAGCCCACTTCCTTTGGAGACGAGGCGAACGCTGCCCCCGCTGCTGCCGGCTTTCCTGAGCGAGGCTGCTGCTACATCCTCCTTGGTCACGTACCTGAAACGGTTCAAAATGCTGCCAACAGACTGCACAGGGAACAATCTCCATCGAAGAACAGTCACTCTTGGCTGTGGCAAAAGCAGTACAGCATATTCTCTTCAAACAGCTCCCAGTTCCAATATGAGAAACGAATGGTGGGGAAAACATACCTCACCATAATACTTCCCACAACATCAGAAGGATATAGACCGGTTGGAGCGAGTCCAGAGGAGGCCACGCAGATGCTCAGAGGGCTGGAGCCCCTCTGCTATGGGGACAGGCTGAGAGAGTTGGGCTTGTTCAGCCTGGAGAAGAGAAGGCTCCGGGGAGACCTTATTGCACCTTCCAGTACCTGAAGGGGCTACAAGGAAGCTGGGGGGGACTTTTTGCAAGGGTCTGGAGTGACAGGACAAGGGGTAACGGGTTTAAACTGAAAGTGGGGAGGTTTAGATTAGATATCAGGAAGAAGTTCTTCCCGGAGAGGGTGGTGAGGCACTGGGACAGGTTGCCCAGAGAAGCTGTGGATGCCCCATCCCTGGAAGGGTCCAAGGCCAGGCTGGATGAGGCTTGGAGCAACCTGGTCTAGTGGAAGGTGTCCCTGCCCATGGCAGGGGGTTGGAACTAGATGGGCTTTAAGGTCCCTTCCCACCCAAACCATTCTGTGATTCTATGATTCCATGTTACAGAGCTTTTTCTAAGACCAGATCCCGCTCTAACCAGTGAAGAGGTAAGTTGCATTGCATACAGCAATGTGAAAATGAAAGCAATTTGTTATTGCCTGACCATGAAATCTGTCAGCCGTTTTGCTTCAGTTGGGTGAAGTCTCACCAGTACTCTAGCTCATACAGGCAGCAGTATGAGCTCTGGAGGACTCCTTGCTCACATTTATTTTAATGTGAAAACATACAAAACATCACTGCCATTAAGTAAAACTTAAAATCCCTTTACTCTGATAATTCTTCCAAAACCTACTACTCTGACAACTTCGCCGAAATACACCTCTCTGTGCTATGCAAATGCCAAGCCCCTTAGCAGATGCTGTAGGTTACACTGGATTTTCTGACATGGTTCACTGCTACATCTTTCCTACTTTCATGGAAGGAAGCAATCAGGCAGCAGGTTAAGAAACACTGCTGCTTCTTCCTTGTATTACTGGAATTACAAACTCTACTTACTTATTGACTTGAATTCTTACCAACAGCCAAAACAGTTGCCCTGGAGGATTTAACAGTAGGGACAGAGGAATAAAAAGGTTTTATATTGCTTGCAGCGGCACCCTGGTGAGTAAACCTGTATGCATGAGAAGTTTTGTGGAGAGCAATGACAACCCCGAAGCTGCAACTGTCTGTCAGGGAAGGTGGTGTATAAGAAACAGGACAAAGTGGAAAAAAAAGGCAAATCTGGATTTTAAGAAGGATTAAGCACTACTCCTTTTCAGTGACACCCAGCAAGGAAAACAGTAATTTTGAGAAGTGTCATCCACAGAGAACAGAATGGCTTAACTGAAAATGACTCTCAGAAAGGGTTGGAGTAGGCTGTGAATATGAATAAAGCATTATATCATTGATGGCACCCAGTGATTTATTCCTGCTTCCAGGTCGGGAAAACAAGAAGATCCCTTGACCTTACTTTTGAGTCCCTGAGGTCATGATTTTTCCGCAAAAATCTCCAGCAAGTTCCAGATATTTAAATAAGCAGCACGGCAAAGCCAGAACAGCTGAACATGGCACAGGGAAGCAGATGCTTCCATTCCAACCGGACTACTGCTGTGCTTGGTGCCTACGTTTGTGACAATGTGACAAGCAGCCATCAAAAGACCAGTTCAGAGTCCCAGCATGACACCACTCAAAGTTCTGTTAAATACATCAAACATCCTGCAGCAATTGGTAAGAGGAAGACAAACGAAACACCACATACCTTTTTGTGCTGCTGACCACTGACTGCTTTTTAGACAACTCCTCTGCAGCATGAATAGGACTACAAAATACCTGACCGCTTTTCCTGACAGTCTTCTGCTTCATGGCCGTTAGGCGAGTCCATTCTTTCACAAACCTCAGTATCTGGCAGAGAGAGAACGCTGTTGTCAGCGGCGTGCAGGCACTGCACTGAACCAGTTCATCACAGTGAGAGCGCTGTGAGTTCCACATTCGTAACTGCATGAAAACAGCTGGTATTATCAGAAACAAGTCACTGTTCATACAGGCTGCAACTCCCACCCACACTGACTGAACAACTCCAATGGCTCTGGTGCTGTCTAAAATAATGGTTCTGCTATGACAGGTCTGTTGATCCAGAAGGTGGAAAAATCAGGCCAGAAACGGCCTTTACTAATCTAAGGAGGAGTGATAGGAAAAAGGTTTCTTGGTGAAGCCTTAGGTAAACATTTCTCATGTAAGATTTGCTCAGGGGAAACACAGACACGCAAGAGTTCTCACAGCGGCCGTTCTCCCTGTTGCCACAGGCCTCTCAGAAAGGGAAAGTTCACTCCTGATACTTGAACAGCATTTATAATTGGGTTTGTGGATAACCTTCCTTCTCTCTTCTACCCTTCTGATACATGCTTTACACTGAATTAATGATCTGCGGCGACGAGCCCTGATGTCAGTGTGGAAGGGTGAGCAACAGCTGAAGTGGGAGGTGCTCAGTTCAAGCAGGGTATTAGTCCATTTCTCACAGAAGGTTTTAAGCTTGTAAAATTTTAAACAGAATCACTGACACCCTTGCTTTCAGGTTATTATATTCCTTTACAATAATACACTGTTAGAAAACCAAACATAATGAAAGTTACTATAGTAAATTAGCAATTAATCACACTCTAAATCAGATCACTGTATTCTTAATTGCACATCTGGTCTCAGAGCAATACTGCCATTCTCTTTCCTGGGGCATCCGTGGAGCACACAGAGATCTGACTAGCGAGTGGGGACATACTTTACCATCAAAATACTCAAAGGGCAACAGTTTTGAGCAGTTCAACCTGCAACTCATCATCTTTCACAGTAATCTCAAGCTGACACAACCACTGGATCCCAAGGAAAATCTGATGAACTGTTTAACAAAGTATTCCAGAAAGGAAATTGAGAACATGGCGTAATACTGATCACCTTCCCTTATTTTGCATTTAGAATTTGAAGGTATAATAAAATAAAAAGGCTTAGAATTTAATTTCTGGTACTGAATCTAGTGGGTTTTTTTACATGCTGGGAAGCCACACACACACACAAAAAAATCCCCAGAACTTTGATGCTGTAAACTGACAGAACTGGTACGACAAATTGATTTCCTGAAGAACCATAAACACAGGACACCCAGGAAGTGAAGGAAAAACTGTTCCTACAGAGGAATTTAGAATTTATACATAACATAAGTGCTTGCTCTAGGATGTGTGTAAGGGAAAAGTTATTTCATCCCACCCTCATCTCTACATCAGAAAATGAATGGGAGAAACAATATGACAACTCAACAGTGGCTTGAGTGGTGGGTTTGGGTTTTCTTTTTTTCCCCATTCCATTTTCCCTTTCTTTTCCTCACTGCCTACCTAGAGCAGTCAGTATCATGCTGTTTCTGAACACAGACTGTGGAAAGAATAATTATATTGTGCAGCAGGGACTTCATTGTGACTTCAGCTTTATCCAGGAACTAACTTCCATACTTCAAGATTATGGCATGGCAATGACTTGGTCTCTTGGAGTATTTTTTTAGATGGCAAATGTAAAAGCATACAGGCGAGTCTCAGTTCCTCAGAGTTGGGGCAGGAAGAAAGAAGTCAATGAAATGGCAGGATATAATGGAAACAGAAACAAGAAGGTATTTCCTTGACTCCTCTCGGGAGCATTTACCAATATGGATCTTCTAGTCTAGAGGAGAAGGCTGAGGGACAGGAAGTTCCATAAAGGTAGTGCCATCCCCTGCCCACAAACACGGGTTTCTTAACTCGTCTTTTCAGTCTAGCAAATACCCCTGAAATCCTTTGGGAACATTTGTTCATTAGCTGCTTCACAAAACTGTTGGTTGAATTGGTCAGGTATCTGTCTTACAGTTTTAAGTTCCATCCTTGCTGGAAAAGCTACCAAAAAGAATCATTTTTGTTGCTACACGATAGCATCTGATTTTCCATATTGTTTTTTTAAATGGAGAAAGGAATTAAGAAAACTATGGTAGGCAGATAGCATCGCACATTCAATCTCAGTCCTGTACTTCCTCACTTGGGTACTTCTGTTGACAGTGTTAATGTTCTCCTCAAGGGTCGTTATGAACGGGATCTTTATTACTGAATTAACGGAAGCTACGTGCCTCAGTGGAGTTCTGCCCTACACTGCTCTGCACGTTATTAGCAGATCGAAGGAAGAAGTGAGGGTGGAGGCCTGCTCAGAACTGCAGCTCTGAAACAATCTAGCACATTTGTATTCATAATGTGCCCTGTTTAATTCATAACCTTTAGGGTGTGATTTCGTTGACCTAGGAATGTTAGTTACTAATCCTATAAATGAGAAATTTAATGACGCCTGGTTGATTCCATCTACGGAAATGTTAACAGGAGCTGTGATAATTTGCCAAAGTAACAGACTGCATAATTAATATTCACATCAACATTTATAAGATCTGCTTGCATTGATGAAACTGTGCCTAGATCTCAAGGCCCGGAAGTGTTCTGCAGTTATTAAAAAAAATAAGTCAAAGCACTCCATATTCAATATTGTATTAGTGTGCCAGTAGAATTTCTTCTCACCAGTGAACGATTCCGTTTATGCTGGAAAGTGTCTGGTAGATCCTCCCAGTTATCCAGCTGTATGTCCAATGGGATGAAATTATGATTCAGTGGTTCACCATCCTAGACAAGCAAACAGTTTCCTTCACAGATGCAATGTACCACAGACTAAAAAAACCAAACCCATCTGTTTCAAGAGAATTATTTTCCCTTCCTACTAATTTAGTCCCTCAAGGTAAGATTTTTCCAGGGCAGGGGGAGCTGGGTAGGATATGGAATCAAGCCACAGATTTATGATGATACCACAGCTGCAAGAAACAAGGATTCATATTAATATATCAAAAGTTTTCATTTTGAAAACATCTGATTTTTTTTTCTTTGCAGAGTTCAGAGACACAAACTGCCTTAAATTAAGAAATTGAAGTTATAATCCTCCTGACTGAATTTCCAAGGGAAATGAATGACTGTAGACTGGAGAATGTCATTTCATTATAACTTAAAATCAGAATCTCAGACACAGCATTGTTTATTATACTTAACTTTCTTTTGCCCCCAAAGTGTCTGAACAAGTTCTACTCCACTTAGTTTTCAAAGAACAAGTTGTCCCAGTGGGTACTATGACCCAGTAATTTCGGATGATGCAAACATTCAAGAGAAGGAATCAAAGCAGAATTCCCCAGTGTCTCCTGGT